AAGCATCAGTCCAATATGTAGGACTGCAATTATGGCAAACCTTTTTTGTATGAAAAATTAGAACAAATGGTGAATGTTACATAATAAAAGCACTTGAGTAAGCAATTCAATGTGATGCTTACTGAAAGGACATAATTACTGTTATTATGTGCTACTTTGTACAATAGTGGAGAAACTACAAAATGTTCCCTTTTTGCAGAAGGTTCTTAAGAAAAACAACGCTCATATATCCTTAGGGTAATCTCAGAATTGTTGAATATGCATATATATATATATATATATATATATATATATATATATATCTGATAATGCTTCACTGAGCTTGCAAAAGTAGGTAATTTATCTAAATATCTCAGTGGGAGAGAGTGATAAACAAGATTCATCCCAGAAAATGAAGTGGTTACAATAATGAGGAGTGTAGCTCTCTTACTGAATGTTTTACTCAATAAAAAGGGTATTTGAAATTCCAAAGGAAAGATATGGTAAAACTAAAAAATACTTTTTCTATTGAAACAATATATGTTTTTCATAGGAATGAAGTTGTTTCAATACCATGTCTGTAATGGGGATTTAGGGACAAATGATCTATTATGAAACCTGAAAGAGTGTTCAGGGATTAAGATACCTTGACCAAATAGACTTTTTGATTAAATGTAGGCTGAGCTAAATTTATTTTTGCTCAAATGTTTGTTAAATAAAAATATTATAAAGAATATTGTTTTTCTTTATTGAGTTAAAATGTACAGCAAAACTTTAGCTACTTGGGTGTTTTAGCATGTGATACATTTTTGGATTATCATGTTGGAAAACATCACTCCCCAGTAGTCTACATGGAGAAAGTGAAAGAATGTGTGGTTGTGTTTGCTTGTTTTGTTAATAAATAAAAAAAAAAATCTCTAAAAATAGCTGTGATGTCTCTCTTTCTCTTTCAGGTAGAAGATAGCAAAATACCCTGATTAGTTAATTAGAAGATATAGTTAAGTGATAACTTGACTGTAACAATTTCCATAAACACATAGAGAAAGTAAACTAAAAGAAATGAAGTAGAATATTCCATATTCAGGCCTCTAAATTATTTTCTTGCATTTTCCAAACTCAGTTGTATGGGTTTTCTGCACACAGCTAGGATAGAGCTGTATGTGGGCTGTTCCCATTCATTCAGAAAAAAAAAACGAGGAACAGGAGAGAGAAAGAGAGAGAGAGAAAGAGAGAGAGAGAGAGAGAGAGAGAGAGAGAGAGAGAGAGAGACAGAGACAGAGACAGAGACAGAGACAGAGAGAGGCATAATATGCATGTTTCCTTGGGTGTACTCTTCAGGAAGGACTTCAACTACGTACCTCTATCTGAGCTTATATAATGGAACTCATGAATGTTGCATCTCTAATGAGAAAAAAAATACAGCCTAGGGGTGGAAAGAGTGTAAATTAGCAAAGTCTATGTGGAGCACATTGCTTATGAAAGCCTAACCATGACACTGAGGATTTGTGAAGTTATAACTATAGATATGCATATAACTATAGATATGCATATTTTAATTTCCAGAGCTAAGCATAAGGGACAAGTAAAGGAACAAGGATGAGTGATTTCTTGTTCCATTTCATATTTTTAATGCTTGTGTTTTCCTTCAAATTTATTTCAGTTAGCAGGCAGCAAAAATTCTCACTCCAAAGGGAAACTTCTTAGCTATGTTTGCTAAATCTTAAGATGCTCTACATATGTTTTGACAAAAAAAATTTTCAAATAGAACACCACCATCTTTCTACCTCAAGGTTACCTTGACAAGCAGTTATCAAGGAATATACAAGGAGAATAGTCAGGAAATCAGTTCTCTAGTTTTCCTTTACCAATTCCTGAAGACAAAATAGCTGTATTCTGTAGAACTGTTTCTTTTTTTCTATTCCTTTCTCTTTATTTTAAGGCATTTATTCTGCATTAACTCAGATATACTAGTAAACTATTGAAGAAGAAATATAGTTTGCCAAGTTCCCAATACTAAGGCAAAGAAATAAAACATTGTCAATGCAATTGAAAATTCCTATGAATTCCTATGAATCTCTTTCTCTTTATATGCCCCACAGGGATAAATACTCTCTCCCTCTCTCCTATGCTTACATCTTTAAAATACCTTGCCACATGAATGAGTGCATTTCTTCCCAAGAGAAACAAAACACTAAAAGTCATTATTAAAAAAAAAAAAACCAACAAAAATGTTAATAATCAATAGCCTCCAGAAATTGCAGTTAATGGCTTTCTTTTGTGCTATGGGGCCCTCTGATCCCAGCCACCTCGGCTGTCCCTCCTGACTTCTCTATCAAGATCTAGGGAGCCCTTGTCCAGAAAAGATTCCTTTTCAGATGTGGAGTTCAGTTTTTTGCCCCTAAAATGACAGGGCTGACCTGAACCGTCCTAAGAATGCTTTTTCTATTTTAAAATTGTATACCATTTCAGAATTATTATTTTTAAGTTGGATTTACTTGGTGTAGAACAAAAGCGAGAACTGGAAGAAAATGAGTAAGAAAATCCTAGCCAATTTATACCAGAAAAAAAAAAAGAAGCTTGTGGACTCAAATTATTCAAATGTCATAGATTGAGATACAATTTCTAGAACTTCACTTAGTAGTATACAATTATATACTTTTGTAATGCACTTAGCTGTCGATGTCCGCTCCCGGCCGGCAGGAAGGACACACGACAAAGTCTGGTAGTGGACAACCTTTTCTTTTTATTTTCCTTCTCCGTACAGCCTGCCCTGGGTTCTCCCAGCTGAAGCCTCCTCTGGTCCGCTCCCCGCGGCTCCTTTTGTGCTTCAGTCTGCCCCAAAGCCTCTACCGGTCCGCTCTCCGCGGCTCCTTTTGGGCTTTTACTTCTGGGCTTCTACCTGGCTTCTTCTTCCGCCCAGGGGTGGCACCGGTATATATACGGGTACAGTGTCCAATCATGTTAAAGTAAGCAAGGCAAGCTGATTGGCTAACATCATCAGTTGCCAGGCAGACTATATTGTTGAGCGGGTTGTTTACGCGGTAAGCAGGAAACTAACATATTCGATGGGAGGGGTAATCTACCTCAGGCTTTGCTCTTTACCACAGGCCGCACGTCCGCCGCGCAAGGCGAGCTATCACAGACGCGGCTCCCAACACTTAGCAATATTCAGAATGTCTTCATACGGAGACAGATTAATTTCAAATATTTTACTAAAAAATCACTTCTCATAAAAGTACAAAATGACATTAAAAATTCTTAGGGGCTAGGTAGAGGTAGAGCATTTACCCAGCCTTGGATTCAGTGTTCAGAATTGTAAACAAAAAGCAGACTTAGAAGACAAATGTGTTAATTTGTAGCAGAATTTAAAGCAAGTTGCTTCTCCACATTCCTAGCAAGAGAGTAGTTTCAAAATCACATAAACCTAGGAAGTTGCATATTTCTTGATTGTGATTTTTAGGTACTATATAACCAGGGATGCATTTTTCACTTTTGTACAAAAACCATTATGACGTCTAAAGAAAGTTTATGTTTTTTCTTTTTCTTTACTTTTTTACTTTTAAAATTAGTGCTTCATGTAACTTGAATTCCAGAGTTTAAAAGTAAATGTTTCTAGCTGAACATGGTGGTGAATGCCAGTAATTCCAGAACTCTGGAATTCTGAAGCAGGAAGATCACAAGTTGGAGCTGTTTCTAGGCAACTTAAGGAAAAGGAGGGGGAGGATAATGCTAAAAAGGATAAATTGAATAAACATTTTTTCTGACATCAAATTTAAGATAATAAAATAATATATCGAATTAAAACAGTAGTAAGCTAAATTGTCTTCAGTATTACAATGGAAGGTTGGCACAATGGCACATGCTTGTAATTACAGCACTCTGGGAGACTGAAGCAGGAGAATCTGAAGTTCAACCCTACCCTGGGCAATTTAATGAGACCCTGTATCAAAATTTTAAAAAAAATCTGGGGATGTATGTAATTGAAAAGGCCCCCAGTACCAGAGTTTAATAATTTTTGTGTTTTTATAGAGAAAAAGAATTTGTAAATATTTCCCTTAGAGGATGTTATTAACTAAAAATAATACTTTAAAAACTATTATTTTCAATTGAAATTTTGTCAAACAAAATGAAATAAACCTAGCCTCTCAAATCTTATATTTTCTTTTATACACATAGGCTACATCATTACATCAATTTCTAAATTTATTTTACCCATGAAAAAAATATACAAGTTAATCATGAAAATCATATTTCAGAAATAGTACTAATCTTAAATGTGTTATACTTTAATGTTATAACTGATAGAGGTGTCATTTTGTAAGCTCCTAACCTTAATAAGTAAGTAAGTAGTAAGTAGTACTTAGAAGTAGTACTTAGAAGTAGTACTTAGAAGTACTTAGAAGTAGTAAGTAGTCAATAAAAATTTCTCTCCCATTCTGTAGGTTGTCTTTTTACTCTGTTGATTGATTCCTTTGGTAGTCAGATGATTTTTAATTTTATACAATCTCATTTGTTGATTCTTGGTATTATTTTTGTGTAATTGTAGTTTTGATTAGAAAGTCCTTCTGTATGCCTGTCTTTAAGTTTTTCCTATTTTCTGATGGATAGTCTCCTATTCTATGCAGCAGACTAAGCAGGGGAAGGGAATGGTGTGGTATGAAAGTGACATTTGTACCTTCTGGTAGATTTCCCCAGAAGCCTGGGTGAAAAGTCCACAGAAAAGTGAACACCTGAGGGAGTTGAGGAGTTAGCTTTGTATAGAGCTGCCGGTGCACAATATTACAAGCCCTGCACTTTGCTTCCTATTGATTTTCTCTATGAATTCATCACTAATAAATAGTAATGCCTCTAGTGAAACAAGGAGATAACAAAAGACCTGAGCCTCTACTCCAGTGGCAGATGGAGAACATACTCAAAAGGAGAATGAAACTGTAGATAATAAAAGATCTGGGGAGAGTGAACAATAGGCGCTCTGCGCTGCTGTGATAGGACTGAGGTTCTGTTTTCTAAGGTTTGAGTTTCATTTCCTAACCTTACAAGAGCAGGATCCTATAGGTGGGTGAGCAGATTTCTCAAGGTAATTCTCCTCTACAAAGGGAGGGAATTGTGGGACATATTTTGTCAAAAGGAGGTTCACATTCCAGATAGATACCCAGGAGACCTGGAGGAGGCCAAGCCACAGAGAAAGTCAGCAAGACTTTTCAAATTGGCTATTTGAAATTACAATTAATGGCACTCCCAAAAGTACTCCTGATACCTATCCTGAGCTCTATAGGTTCACTTCTATGCCAGACTTTCCTGATTGTAACCTTGTAGATCAATCTCAGCTTGGGAAAAAAGTAATCATTTTTGTGTATAAAAACCCCTAAACAAAGAAATCTTTTTAATAATCCTTTTTGGGTCCCCTTCTAGGTTCATTTGCTTTAGGGACTATTTGCTTTTGCTTTACAAGAAATGTTGCTTTCTTCTCTTGCTCTACAATAAACACTTTTTCTCTACCTTCTGCTGACTCCATATTGTAATTCCTTCTGGGTTGAAAGCAAAACCCACTAGCTGGATGGTAACACCTGGAATTTGATACAAGGCACACTGTGGTGTTTGTCAGTAGAAACTGGTCCCAATTAAGGTCAGAATTTCTGGGGTTGCTCATACAATAGTACATGGCTTGTAACCTTTGACACTTTGAAAAACTAAGCCTGGAGCCAAGCACAGTACGTATGTACGCTTTTATAACAGCAATCTCTTTGGAATGTGTATATAAACAGGTCCTTCCAGTAGATTCTTGTATGTACAAATACTTTCTTTTCTTTTCTTTTTTGTAAATCCATAGAGCTAAGTCACCAGCTCCTTATTTACAATTACCTGTGTAACAAGTCTGTGTAGAATCTGAACTTTTGCTTGACTGACACCTAGTACCATGATCAATACCCTACAAGAGAGAGGTCATTTCTGTATTTGTGGATGTAGGGCCAATAGGTCATTTATTTCAGAAAGTTCAGGACAGTGGCGCACCTGAGCAGAAAAGTCTGATCAGGACCTTTGCCGCCAGCCTGAAGGCCTGCAGAGTACACTGTGAAGTCAGTGATCACAGTGGATGACATCTCAATGGGCTCTGCACTAGGCAGTCCAGGCCATCCCTGCACTGAGCTTATTTCTCCTCAGGGTATGTAGTGGCTCAAAAGATTTTATTGTTTTAACCATTTAAAACAGACTGGGTTTTTTTCATTTTAAATACTGAATTCTTGAGAATATTGCCTTGTAATCTGTGGAAGGGTTTTCAATAACAGTTTCTTTCCTTTTCAGGTGACAGTATTCTAAGAAAATCAAAGGGTACCACCCTCCCCCAGTGCGGGTACAGACTCAAGCGCAGACAGACTTCAGGCCCTGGTTTTGCCCTTCCGCAGGGTATGTAACATGACTCTCAGTTGTATTTAGATTGTGTTTTATCAAGTCCTTCTGTGCAGTAGGCTCTGTTTCATGGTCATCCTCTCAGGGAGCTTCCTGTGTTCCTATCTGGGTATGCGCTATGTTCACATACACTCACTAGCTATCACTGTTAAGTATGGTATGTTGGGAAAGCAGCCAATGTGGTTGAAGAAACCAAGCTATTTGATAAGCTTCACCACTCTGAGTTCAGGTCAGGCTCAAAGCCACTACTTAACCAGAGTTGAATGCCTTGCCTTTTAGAGGTGTGCCTTCCTGAAATGCCCTAGTCCAGTTTCTTCTGCCATTGTGGAAGTTTGGTGGAAATCATGTGTCAGCCAGGCTTCTAATCACTATCATAACTCTATCCTTCAGAGCTTGACAATGAACTGACAAAGTCAGAGTTATTTCAGTGAGCTGAGACCTTTCGAAGCTATCAGTCGTCTGATAGGAAGCCTTAGCGTGGAGGAAAAATTTGGGGATGATCCTGCGTGTTCTTGTATTACTGAGGAAAGTGTCTCCTCTCCTCCTACACTGGACTCTCTGAAGCCTGATGTGACACTTCCTTTGTGGTATGGAGTCTGTTGTGTGGCCTTCTTGACACCTAACTGAAATCACTACTGTAAAGTATTAATTCATGATCCTTCATGAACTCAAGTGTAAGGGTAGAGAACGGCAGGTTTCTAACTCTAATTGTATATTCTTTTTCCATAGCATATTCAGGCTAGGCTCAAAGTAGCAGCCTAAATAGTAGCTACTTTCAATTCTTTGCTTTTGCCTATACTCCTAAAAATCACAGTGTTGGTCCATGTACATTCTCCTGGGAATTGGGCTAGCTAGTTTAGAGTTCAGGCATCACTAGCTCATTGTTCGGTATGATATGTCTTTTTGACTCTGCTCTAAAGCACCTGTGCAGAGAGATGTAAGGGGCCAAGGGTGAGAAGGGGTCAGCATCATAAACTCACTATGACCTCCTACTTTGAGCCAATCATTTGACACCTCTGATATCATACAGCAGTGAAAGTGATTTTTATTATTATAGAAACTTTAATGATGATTATAAATAGGAAATTATGCCAATTTTAGAAATGGCATAATTGACACTTGTAAAACCTTGTAAATTCCCTGAAATGAGATTGATAACAAAAGTCAAATAAGATGTTAGTCTTATATAGCGGGACTTGAGCAGTGCTCATTCTAAATATTCAGCCTCCATTGGTTTGTTTTGATGACTGCTTGAGGTAAGGGTGGAATCCAAATATAGCCCAAGAATGTTCACTGTTCTCTGTCTTTATGACATAGCACTGCCTTTGTGAGTGGTGGTAAAATGATGCGATGTGCCATCGTATGTGTCAACACCACAGCCTTTTATTTTTTTCACATTCCCACTTGCAACATTTCACACACATGATTTGGTTAACCATTGAAAAGATAATGCCACTGTGCCATATGTAATTCCATTATCTGATTTTGCTTTTTGGATTCTGAGCAATTCATACTGCAGTAAAAATATTCTATTATGAGTTGAGGGGCATCAATTTGAGAATTCTCATATTGTTGCTTATTTTCAAGTTTAGATATAGGAAATGAAGAAGTTGAAATGTTTCAATAGCTTTTCAAACATTAATTGATTTTCTTGGGCTTGGGTTATAACTTAGTGGTAAAGCATTTGCCTATAAAAATGAATTGATATTTAAAATAGTTTTACGCTTAAAGAAAAATGAGTGGAAAATAAAGAGATTCCCCATATATCTCCTGTCCCATTACCAGTTTCCCAGAATTAGTGTGGATATTTGTTATAATAGGTAAGCCATGGATTATAATAGGTGCTTTATCATTAACTGAAGTCTTTAATTTACATTAGGGTTTACTCTGTGTAATATATTCTGTAGGCTTCAAAAATGCAAAATGAGAGCTGGAGATGTTACTTGCTAGTAGAGCACTTACCTGTCATGAACAAGAGACAAAGTTCAATCCCCTGCACTGCAGCAAAGCAGAAGAAAAAATTGTAAAATGATGTCTATCATTACAGACAAAACATATTTTTGTTGTCTTAAAAAACCACTTGTACTTCCCTCCTTTTCCCTATCCTCCCATTTCCTGGACACTATCTATCTTTTCACTGTCTACATAGTTCTTTCTTGTTCAGAATGTGATGTAATTTATAAACTGTTGTATGCAGTCTTCTCAGCTTGACTGTTTCACTTAATACGCACTTAAGGTTTTTCCATTTCTATTTTTGGCTTAATAGCTCATTTCTTTTAAATATGGAATACCATTTCATTGTATGTATATACTATGGTTTTTCTACTATGCACCTATTAAATACATCTTATTTTAGGTCACATTTCCTGGTTTGTTGCACTTAGATGTATGCTATAAAGCATTAAATATCCCTATTAGTTTCTTTTTTTTTTATTTAAGAGGAAAATGAGAAAAACACAAAACAAAACAAAGCGGTGTAAGGCTACACGTAATACAGAACTACAAAAAAAAACATAACAGTAAGAAATCACCTGTTAATAGATTACATATTATCATCTTGAAAATAGTTGCTCGAATCACAGTATCAAAGAATACAAGGTGGACATTCAAACAGGGAGAGTGTAAACAGCTGTGTTCAATGATCCAAAAACATTGATACAGTCAGCTATTTAACACCCCTAAACACTTGCTGTTATATCCGTTAGAGCTCTTTTTATTTTTTTCCCTCTCTTTTTTACAACAAAATTTACACATTTTGGATTTTATTACTCCTTAGTGCTTATTACTTTTTTGGGGGGGAGAGAATACAGTCAAATATGGCAAAACAAAGCTGTCAGTCAAAACTAAGGATAGACATAGCACATGGTGCAGAACAGAGCACAAGGTTATCAACAATGGTTATTAATGTTGTCTCTTGTTTCCTTAAAAAGAACTGTCCATCTCATCAGATATTACAAAGTTGGACAAAACAGTAGAGAACAAGACCAACAAAACTTAGGCATTGTAAACATTACAGGACTTCCAAAGAAGACAATAGTCAAACCAGAATGGGCATCTTAGTGAATCTTATTGCCTTCAAAGTAGTTGCCTATATCCTCAAACTTGATACTATCATACAAAACGGAACAGAGTCTAATCAGTCAAAACAAGATCGTGGGAGTATTACAGGACTTCAAAACAAGTTAATAGGAAATCAAAAAGAGTTACTATATATATATATATATATATATATATATATATATATCTTAATTTTTTAAATTATTTCCCTTAAGTAAGACAAACATAAGAAATGACTAAATAATTTTTTTAAAAGAATAAGGGGGAGATTGAGATAAAACAGGACATAACAATATAACAATAGAGGTCAAAGCATGACTGTTTCAGCAACCTAGTACTTCACCACTATATAACCCGACTTAATAGTAGTTACCATAGTGTATGTCTATTTCCTTGAAATATTTGGATAAAACTTCATATACTCTAGCTTCAAATATTTGCGTATCAAGAAGCCCAGAATAAAGCCTTTCTAATTAATGAGTGAAAACTTTATAAGGCTTCAAGGCCACCTAATGGGGAATCATGATTACCACATGGTTTTATATATTTGAATCATTACTTACATTAGGGAAACTATTCAGTATTCACACATGCGAGATTGATTTATTTCACTTATGAGTATGGTCTCAAGCTGCCCCCATTTATGGATAAATATCTCAATGTGATCCTTCTTTATAGCTGAATAATACTCCATTGTATAGAAATACCACAATTTTTTTATCCATTCCTCAGTTGATGGACACTTGGGTTGTTTCCAAGATCTGGCGATTGCAAATTGTGCTGCTATAAACATAGGTGCACATATATCACTGTGGTATGATGCTTTCAGTTCTTCTGGGAATATGCCTAGAAGTGGAATAGCTGGAATAAATGGGATTTACAATCCCAACTTTTTGAGAAATCTCCAGACAGATATCCACAAAGGCTGTACCAGTCTACACTCCAACCAGCAGTGCAGGAGAGGTCCTTTTTCCCCACAGCCTCTCCAGCATTTGTTGTTGTTGGTTTTCTTGATCCTGGCCATTCTTTCAGGAGTGAGATGGTATCTCAGTGTGGTTTTAATTTGCATTTCTCTAATGACCAATGATGATGAGCATTTTTTCATGTATTTATTTGCCATTTGCATTTCTTCATCTGAGAATTGCGTATTCATCTCAGATGCCCATTTTTGGATTGGATCTTTGAATTTTGGAGGTCTGAGTTTCTTTAATTCTTTATATGTTTTAGACAAGAGGCCCTTGTCTGAGAGAGAGTTCACTAAAATCTTTTCCCAGTTTGTGGGTTTTCTTTTCACTATGCTGGAGATTTCTTTTGACATGCAGAAACTTTTTAATAAGAAATGGTCCCAGTTATTGATTCTGGGAAGTATTTCCTGTGCGATTTGAGTGCTGTTCATGAATTCTTTACCTACTCCTATGTCTCCAAGGTTTCTACCTAATTTGTCTTTCAATAGATTTAGTGTTTCTGTTTTAATATTCAGATCTTTGACCCATTTAGATTTTAATTTAGTACATGGTGATAGACATGGGTCTAGCTTTAGTTTTCGGCAAATGGAGAGCCAGTTTTTCCAGCACCATTTATTAAAGAGACTGTCGTTCTTCCAGTGAACCTGCTTGGCTCCTTTATCAAAGATAAGGTGGTTGAGTGTGTTCGTAGTTGTGGTTGTATCTTCTAATCTGTTCCATTGATCTTCGGTTCTGTTTTGATTCCAATACCATGTTGATTTTACTACTGTTGCTTTGTAGTATAACTTCAAGTCAGGGATTGTGATACCTGCTGCTTTGTCTTTGCTGCTTAAATTGCCTTTGCGATTCTAGGTCTCTTCTGGTTCCAGATGAAATTTAGGAGTGATTTCTCTAGATCTATAAGGTATGTTGATGGTATTTCTATTGGGATTGCATTGAATCTGTATAACAGTTTTGGGAGAATGGCCATTTTCA